GTGTCATCTCTTCCATTTAGGGACCCTCAGGATGTAGCTTGGTGAGGTTTCAGGGGCTCTCCATTAATATTGATGAGGAAGTGGGAAGGACTTGAGACCGGAGGGATGGAAAGAGTTACAAAGCAGGGAGGAAAGAAGGAAGGCCTGTGGCCCTGGAGCCTGAGTGTTAGCAAAGATCTACAGGGAATGTGGGCCCCAAATTCAATGAAAGGCCAAAAGGATGAGGTGATGTAATGAAGATGCTTGTCATCCCCCAGAATGTGGTCTTGAGGAAAGCTGTGGAACATTCTCTCTGAAGTCTTTGGGTGGCCCCGGGCGGGGGACCTGGCGATAGACTCCCTGGCCTCTCACATTCTTCTTCAGCCCATGAGCCAAGAAGCTCCTTTGAAGTTTCTAGTTGTGAAAAGCGGCTGCCTTCCTTGTCCTTTTAAAAGGACAGAGATCTAAAAGACATAAAGGAGACTTACTTGCATATTTCTGAGTCTGTTAAGAAGAGAAGCTAGTCTGCTAAGGCTGCATACTGTTTGATTCTAACTACGCGACATTCTGGAAAGAGTTGGACAATGTAGACAATATTAATAGATCAATGGCTGCCAAGGGTTCAAGGGAAGGAAAGATGGATAGGCGGAGCACAGGGGATGTTCAGGGCAGTGAAACTACTCTGTGTGATACTGTCCTGGAGGACACGAGACATTGTGTATTTGTCCAAATCCAGAGAATAGATGACCCCCAAAGTGAACCCTGATGTAAACTATAGATTTTAGTTAATATTAAAATGGGCTCATCAATTGTAGCAGGCAGGGACTTCCCTGGTGGTCCAGTGGTTAACGCTCCCTGCTTCCACTGTAGAGGGCATGGTTCTATCTCTGGTTGGAGAATTAATATCCCATATGCTGAGTGACGCAGCCAAAAACATTGTGGCCGGCATATCACAGTAATGCAGATGTCAATAGCAGCGAAACTGCCCTGAAAGAGGTGGGATATAGGAACTCTGTACTTACCGTCAAACTTTTCTGTATACCTGTGACAGCTCAAAACAAATAAACTCTATTAAAGAAAACACAGATCTCTGTCCACACCAGCAGCATAACCAGGAAATATTGGTGGTACATCCTTGTGAAGTCATGGGCATCTGAGAACTACTGCTGGTGATAAATGTAAAAACATCCACAGCCAATGCGAACCTGGCCCATCTCTGCTTCCTTCCAATCCCCCACCCCCAAAGTACACAACGGGTGAGCATGCCTCTAGAATGGACAATGCTACACAGGTATAAAGAATTCGTGGGCGAAACCAATCTAATAGACTTATTTGGGCTTTTAGTTGCCTCAAGCCATCATAGCGAAGTGGACTCCATGAAGGTACACTGCTAGCATCTGCTTCTGGCCAAGGCGTCCAGGCAACCACCATAGGAGGTCGGAACTGTCACGGTCGTGTCTCTTGTTTCCCACCTTGACTGAGGTGGCTGCAGTTTCTAGAGGGTGGACCCCCTCCTAAGGGGATGCTGGGTGGTTCCTGGGCTCCAGGTGCTCCACGGAGGGAGGAGCTGGGAGGGGGTGGGACCCTGTAGGTGGGGGAGGGGCGGGAGCGGGCGCTGCTAAGGGTGATCCCGGGACAGGGCTGGGTGACATTTGACTCTGAATTTTTTTGAAAAGTCAGGAAAGAGAATTTCACCCTGTCATAGCTGGAAGGGCTCTTTGAGACCATCGGCACCCTCTTAGGGTGCTGCTGAGCAGCTGAAGGGTGTTACCTGTCCACACCTGCAGCAAGGTGTTACCTCCCCCCCCCCACCAGCCCCCCCACCTGGTGGGTGGCGCCTTCATCTGGGTTCTGACGCCCTGGATTCCTGGGCACGCCCCACACAATTGAGCAGACCTGCAGAGGACCCTCAGACCTGCCCTACCCCTTCGCACTCAGCACTTTCTGCTTCACACCTGCGCTGGCTTCCCACTCCCTGAAGGGGGCCATCATCTGCCTCCTTCGCATGGCACCAGGCTCTGGCGTCTGGTCCAGCCCCTCACCACCCCCGCACCTCCAGGCCCCCTGAGCACAGACCTCCTCTCCTATTTTCCCGCCCCCAGCCCTCCTGTATCTCAGCACAGGCCTGTGCTCCTCTTCCAGCTTCCTGGAGCACTCCTCCCAGCCTGCTTCCAGCCCGAGGGCAGCCTCTGAGAGCCCAGTTCTGCGTCAGGCGCTCAGAGCTCCGGGTTTGTAGCTGCCAGTTTCCCAGCCCTTACTTCCACCGGACCAGAGTGCACAGAAACTGCCTGGCCTGTAGCAGGCTCTTAATAAATATTTATTGACTGAACAGGGTCTATAAATACTCTTTTGAGCTCCAAGAAGACAATATCAATCTCTTTCCCGCAGGCTCTAGCCCATTCCCCCTTGTCCCAAGCTCTTTAAGCATCTGCTGGAGTTCAGGTTTCTTTATCCCAGGGTCTTGGAGGACCAGGAGCCCGGATTCTCAGAGACCCTGAACACATGGACGAGGTGCTAAACAGGGCAGGTTCAGCTTCCATGCAGGTAGCCGGGACCTCCTCTGGCCACTTAACACTGTGCACTGCAGGTTCCCAGGGACTGATTTCCAGTAGTTAAACAGGACCCAGTGAGGCTTCACGCTCTGTGTTAATTAAGTTTTGTGGTTTCAATGCGACAGTGTTCAGCATCTGCCTTCTCCGACAGGTAAATGCTGCTCCCCGGGGCCCTGTTCTGCCTGCGAGATGGAGCAGGCATCTTTCCAAGGACTTTCTTCTCTAGCACTTTGAAGATGCATGGGCATTAATTTTTATGCTTCATATCCAAAATAGACAATAAAATTAGGGAAGCAGGTTAGTGTCAATCTACAGGGCTGCCTGTGGAGGTGATCTGAGTCCTTCAGAGTCCTTGGAGGGAATTTCTGAGGTTGTCCTGCCCTCCCTGAGCAGAACTTTAACATTCAGAGAGGGCTATGCTGGGAGGGAAGGCAGATGCCCAAAGCATGAGGAACTGACAGCTTCCCCTGGCATGGCAAGCTTAGGTATAGAAACCAGAGAGGGGCTCCTAGTAGGAGGGTCTAGGGGAACAGGGTGGCACATGCTCAGTCCACCCACTGGGGGCAGCCCAAAAAAGCAGTGTCTGCAAACAATTTGGAGGGTGGCTGGACCACGGCGGGTCAGCGGTGCCCAGGGATGCACAGAGTACATCACCCATGTGACACTCTCCCTCACTCTGGGTGACAAGTGGAGGGCAGCGGCCATTTGTCAGATGTCTACTGTGTGCTGTGACCTTACGTGAGCTGTCACCCTCACCGCAGCCCGGCGGGGAGGGTAGAGGGACACCACCTCTGCAGGAAGAAACTGAGGTCGGGGTAGGGGGCAAGATCTCCTGCAAGTCCACAGCCTGTTAGTGGCAGAGGTAGGTTTTGAGGCAGGTGAAAAGTCCTTGTTCTCCCAGGGCACTGCACCTGCTCTTCAGGGCATGCCTTGGGACCCGAGGATCCCAGGAGGAGGGTTGCCTAGCATGGTCAGGTGTGGAAGGAGGGAGCAGAGGAGTGGGAGAGGCCCCCCGCACCCCGCTCCTCACCCCCCTGCAGACTGGATGAACCTCAGCATGTCACTCCCCACCAACCGTCCAGTTCTGCTTTGTGCTCCAGGGCCAAACACCTGACCCTGTGCCAGCTGCTGGGATGGGTGTAATTAGGCGGAAAAGGCTCTAAAGAGCCCATGCCAACCAATCACAACCTTGCAATTAAAAAAAGCTACATGGAAGTGAAGTGTCAAGGCGTCCTGTGACTTCTGCTGGGTGTGCCTATGATGGGAGCCGGTCAGCTGGAAAACTGCTGGCCTGCAGTTCCTTCCAGCATGTACTTGTGTAAATACTGCAGGCTGACCCCAGGAACACCCTGGGGTCTAGGTCGTGTGCTTCTGAGCTGGGGTATTCCCTCTTCCAAAGTAAAAAGCACTTTCGGGGGGATGGTTTTCTCCCATACCACCCCTCTGGGCACCAGCTCTCAACACAACCCAGTTTGTTCTTGTAGCTCCTAATTCCCAGGGGGAAGTGGAAGAAAGATAAGAGTCCATTCATACCCAGAGGGCGTTTGGGACTTTGACATGAAGAGCCAGAATCATGGCATGCTTAGGGTATCATGAGGATTCTTCCTTGCCACGTTAAGTTCATTATAATGAAAAAACAATCACAGTAAAGGGTATTTGTGAGTGAGACCCTGATACGGCAGACACAAAGGGACGGGGTGGTGGGGGAGGTGGATCCAGGTAATTTGGTTGGAGGCTGACACTGTTGCCGAACAGGCATTTTGCTCCTACCAGCTTCTGTGCTTAGAACCACGTGGGCACTAACTCCTGGACGTATGTGGCGCCTGAGATACCTGTCTCCCAGATGCCGGAGGTGGGGGACTGGAGAGGCAGCCCTGTGCTCGGCTCACTAGCTGTGTGCTCTCTACTTTGGGAGGAAGAACATTTTCTGGATGGAGGCGAGGCCAAGCCTCAGAGACTGCTCCCCTCCACCCCCCCAACCCCTGGCTTCTTTGATGGGAAATGAAGCACTTACCTGGTAATCTCAAGACACACCCTCCATTTGGAGCGAATGGTGCAGGGGAGAGGACATGTGTGGTGCGAAGACCTGAGACCTAGCCCACAGGGATCCCAGGAAGGCTGCAGATGGTGGGGCTGGTGGTGGTTGGGAAGGCTTTCCACAGTGAACTCTCGACTCCCCTCCCGCTCAGCCGCCCACGCCACCAGTGTTTGAGCTGGCCAGGTGGAGTTCAAGCATGAACCTCGTGAAGACCAGCTCCAGCACTAAACAATGTTATGATTACCAAACACCTTTACCCAGATGCCCAGCTCACTGCTGACGCTGGGTCAGGCACGCCCGTTGCCGCTCCCTCCCTCTTTCAGCCGCTGGTTCTGGTCATGTGCTGTCTCCAACCCCCTTCCGGGGGATCACTGTCACTGCCCCTCCCTGCCCACCCAAATCCACTATTAAAGTCACGCTCCAAACTGTCATTTTCTTTTTAATTTTTAATCAGTCTGTGTCAAGAAAAAACAGGATTTGATCAAGCTTCCAGCTCTCACCGCTCTATCAGCATAGCAATTTTATGAACAAAAAAAAAGAAAGGAGTTTTGTTTGTATTTGTCTGAAACCCAGAGGAGAAAAAGAATCAGATCCACAGATTAACATGTATTTGAAGAGACATTTCGGGACTTGGGAAATGTGTTTATCAATCATTTTTTAGGAAGGACACCCAGTGGGCCCCGGGAGGGTACGGTGGACGTGCTGGATGGACTGATGGGTAAGGCAGCAGGGGACCCCGAAGCAGGAGGGCAGAGCCATCCATCTTTGGAGCCTGTGGACTTTGCAGGACAAAATAAAAGGGGTAAAATAATTCAACCTCATACTTTATCTGGAAGAGGAGGAATGTGTTTCCAGATAGAATTTCTGTTTTGGAAAATTAAATCTGACTGAGTTTGGGAGCAGGGACAACAACTCTTAATAGTTAAAAGGAGAGGGGCTCACAACTGAGATAAACTGTCAAGTGGAAGCTTTTAAAAATGCTGAAACAAAACATTACCTTGGTTACTTCTCCACCATGAGATGTATTTGAACACACTCTGACCATGTGTAAAGTCACAAGGTTTAGCCAATGCCGTGGATCCATGTGCTAGACCATGAATACAAATACTGACGACATTTCACCAAAGGACAGCACGGAGGACAGGAACTCTACCTTTTGGAGAAATTTCCAGAAAGCAGAGTCTGCCTGAGTCTTTCCTTTCCATTCTCAGTGGAACTGCCACGTCCCGCTTTAATCTCGCCTTGAGTAGGGTTGTCCAGTGCGAGGAAGACTGTCCCAGGGACACTTGAGAACCTTCCTTCGGGAGCCTGCAGGGGGCGCGCTGCTGCTCTTCCAGCAGCTCAACACAGACTTCCTACAGAGGCTGGGCCATCCGAATCTGGAGTCCGGAGACAGTTGGAAGTGGATTTTAGAAGCGATTTACGTAATGTGACATGCTTTCAGAGGAGGCGGGTAATACTCGTAAGTCAGCGGGAGGTGGAATTTGGTGGATATATGCGTGGAACCGTCTGTCCCATGTTCTGCGGCATGAGTTACCCTTAATACCTTCATCCAGGACTGCTCAGGGCTGCCCCTCATCCTGCTGTTCCTCACTGGTCTTGGCAAATCCTCAAGTCTTATTTTAAAGCACTGCCGCTGCCGCTTATCAGCCTCGCCCTTGAGTCCGAGATGCACAATAAGAGTCACTGTCCCCATGTTGTTGATAGATTAGAAAACTTGCTCCATCGCCCCCAAGCTCTGTCCTCCAGAGGCCTCACTCCAAGGTACACGGTTCCCATCCCCAAGGGGGTAGCAGAATCATCGGGACTTTCTCCAGTTATGGATCTTCTTCCATTAGAGGGATCTCTGTAAAAAGAGATGGTTATTAAACTGCAAAGAAAGAGACAATTATCATACTAATATACTGAAAAATACTGTGAAGATCTGGAATTGTGAGTTTCAGTAAAATAGAGTTCCTACTTCCCTGGTAGCTCAGATGGTAAAGAATCTGACTGCAATGCAGGAGACCCAGGTTCGATCCATGGGGTTGCAGAGAGTCGGTCACGACTGAGCAACACAACACACAAATCAGTAAGAAGATAATGCCAAGTTCCACGTATCATTTAACAAGCAAACAAACCAGCACTTCTGTACATAATTAGCTGGAAAATCTCATATCTAGCTCATAAAAATTAAACTGTTAGGCTTCAACCACGTGTCCTAATGGTAAAGGTTACAAGTTCAAGTACAGAGTTCTCCACAGGGAACCAGGAGACCCCTAAGTCCACACAGTTACTGTGACTTACTGCCAATATAAGCTGGAATGAGTGCTTTCATTTGTGAAGTGGTACTGGCACTTCCTCCCCTGGGAAATGAGCCCTATTTAATCTGATGCATTTTTATTATTTTACCATGATCTGCAAGATGCTTTTCCTTGCAGTAGCAAGGAAGTAGTAGTACCTTCCTTCTACTTCACACCTGGTAAACATAGCCTGTATGTACCCAGAACTTCTCCAGGGTGGGCCTTCGGGCCCGGATGTAGGTCTTCCCTTTTAGCATGCATGTGTTACCTTGATCCTGAGCACCACTTTCAGAAGTCCTGCCTAATTAAGGGAAAGAGAAGAAAAGCATCCTGGGTTACGTGGATGCTATGAAAATCAAGTTCCGCCCACCTAGCCTTTCTACTCTGGATGGCTTGGTGCTCTTTTGTGCCTCCTGAAATTGCAGTTAATGGGCTCATCACTTGTGAGGTGATGACCCTTCCTTCCAATAACTGGCCTTGCCCATGGCCTCTACGTACAGCATGCAATTTCAGCTGAGAGAGACGGAAGTTCTGATTTGACCCTGAGCTGGGAGCAGGGTGGTGGGGGGTGGTGGTGGTGGGCTGCACCAGGGTGGCTTGGACCTCGGGGTCAATGCTTACCATCTGCAATGTCGATGCCCGGGCTGGTGGATGCCACCTCCCCCGCCGTGCTGGGAGCTGTGTCAGGGTTGTCGGAAGCAGGGCGGGTGCTCCCTTGGCACATGGGAGGTGAATATAGACTCTGGAGCAGCTCCGAAGAGCCTGAGACGCTGTCGCAGGTTTCTGACTCCCCCGGGCCGGTGTCTGTGTCCCCTGAGCCAGGGTATGCTGGGGGGCTCTGGTCGTCCACGGGTAAGGGGCAGCCCTGGCCCACAGAGGCCAGGTACCCGGGGCCTAAGGCACTGAAGCCGCCGCTCACAGCCTCGTCATAGGACGGGAGCATGACGGGCACGCCATCCACCACCACGAAGTCAGGGTCGCTGCTGGAACTCCTGGGAGGTCCCCTGTGGAGAGCAAATTGGTGCCAAGGTGACAGGTCACCCCGGGAACGAGGCCACAGCACCCACCCATTGCAGCTGGGGTCCTCAGGGCAGCGGAGCCAGAGGTGCAGAACATGGCAGCCGCCCTGCCGGGTCCCCTCCGGCAGATGATGCATTCACCAGGGCCACGCTCCAGGCGGGACAAGCTTTTCTTCTCCTCTCTGGCCCCTGCCCTCCATCTCCCTCTTGCCCTTTCCTGCCCCCTCTGGGCTCCATCATCTTCTCCTGCTATAAACTCATGGACAGGGGACTATGTGGCCCATTCCAACCAAGCATCCCAAGGTGCCCCTGCAGTGTCCCCTGCTGGAAATGGAATAGCATCATTAAGGGCTTGGGAAAGTGTGGACCTTAGGTGCCCCTGTCAGTTACCGCTGCACTTAGGATGCTTCCTGTTTGTTTTCTGTTGCGGTCTAAAACTCACTCATTTTCAGTCAAGACAGAGAAGCAACAACAGGAAAAAAAAAAGGAACTCTTTCCAGGTTTGTGGGCTTGTGGTCACCTGAATCTAAGCTTCACCGTGCTGCCAGAGTGGGGGTCCCCTTACCCTGCCATGCACTCGGCTCTGGCCTTGCCCTTGGTCTCCCTCCGGTCCCCTGCACCTTCCAGACCTCGGGTCTGAGGTCAAAGTCAGCTCAGCTGACCTCTCTCTGCTCCTGGGCCCTAGAGGAACTGGGGTGGCTAGTCAGCGGCCAGTGGGACTCGGTTCCTTATCTTCTCGGCTGGGAACTGGTCCTGAGTGACGTGGCCAGAGGGTAAACTACCAGGAAGAGGGACAAGTCAGCTGGGTGGGCAGGCCACGAGCTCCGCATGCTGGCCTCCACAGGAGCTCTGAGTCTGAGGACTAAGAGGTCTGGATGCTGGCATGTGGGGCAGAGGAAAGCACCAGGCTGTCTCTCTCTGACACTTGAGGCCACTGGCGTTTTGGAGCATCTTGCTTGGAGATGCTGTCAGGGTCCTCTTGTTCCACCATCCTTAAGGCCATCCAGAGACAGAGGGAGATTACAAAGTTTATACCCTACTCCCAAAGACGGAAGCTGGGAGGCAAGGAAGAGTCTGCTTCAAATCTGGGTTCTCTCCCCTTCCATGGCCCTTATGAGTGGATCTTGGATCCACTGAGCTCCCCTACTCCCCAGCCTGCCCAGTCTCATGCTGGCCTCCTGCCTCACTTGGGCCTGCCTACCTTTTCAGTCTTTTTCAGCTTCAAGTTGCCCAGGTCAGGGGGACCCCAAGGATGCTTCTGTTCTCTGTTCTCCCCACAACAACAGCTCTCACCAGGGCTCCCATGAGCTGTCAGCCTCTCCCTCGCTGGTCCCAGCCCCATGGACTATCATCAGCATCTCTTCCTAGTCTACGGCTCTGGGACCAGCAGAAAAAAAACCAAAAACCCCTTCCTGGACCTGCCCTGAGAATCTATCATCACTCTGCATAGCTGAGACCAGTTTCCACATAGATAGACAGTAACCTATGAAGGAAATATTCAAGGAATTAAAAAAAAAAGTATAGTGAGTGTAAGGGACCATTTTAAAAAAATGTCTTTAATATTTAAACTCTATCCTTATCCTGGAAACTCGGTTCTCAAGCCTCTGTAGAAAAATAGCTCTATAGGCCACATTCAAATACTCCATGTACTATAAATCACAGTATGTAGTTTAGCTTTCTCCTTGTAACCCCTAGGCCTTCTTTAGATAGTCTAATTGCTCCATGATAGAACATGGTCTCTTGACTCATAAATAATGTGAGGATGGAGAGTGCAGGTGATGGGTTCGAGAGGAAAGAAGGCTCTGGCACTTCAGCAGGGGCTTGGCTGTGGCCCCAGGATGGTGCTCACACACACTGTGTCTGGCGAGGATGCAGGGGCCCCTACTCCCACCCCCCACCTAGCACAGCTCCGAGGCTGGAAGAGTGGGGTGCCTTCAGGTCATGGGGTCCCTGTAGCAGGTGGGGGGGGGCACTGTTCTGTGGGATGAGGCTGTCCTGGGGGTGCGAGGTTGAGAGAAAAGGTGGGATGCTGTCTCCAGCAGCCCTGCCTGCTTCCCTCTTCCGCGTCTGGCTGGGAGTGTGAGTGTGGGTTTTCCTGGAGGGCCAAGTAGGGAGTGGTTAGTCCTGGAAGCCGCCTCCTCCTTCACTCAGTAACACTCCGCCGAAAGAGTGGTACACGCACCCACAGAGGCCAGCCTGTCCCTGTGGGCAGAAACACATGCCCTTGGGTGAAGCCTGAGGTTCCCGTGTGAGAAGCTCTCACGTGGGCACAGGAATCCAGGGGAATATGTGATGCCTTTGTGAATCAGGGAGCTCTGGCTAACATCCTGTGATGTTCGGTGCCCCGCTTCCCTTCTCCTGATGCTCACAAGCTCATCCTGGGGTTTCCTAAACGACTTCTCCTTTCAGGAACAGTGATCCGCCCACAGCAGCGCTGGGTGGCTCCTGGTTTTGCAGGGTGCTGGCATGCTTGGTCCAGGATGAGTGGCCAGCACCAGAGGGGAAGGGCCACAGCCGCCCTGGGCACTGAGATGGCCAGACCTGCCTCTGAGGGACTTTGACAGCCTCCTCTCGATGATGACGAGCGCGAGGATGAAGGCACTGAACCCAGCTCACTGGTGCAGCCGAGGAGGATGGAGAGCCCTCCACCTGCCCACAGGTCCCACTCTGAAAGCTCAGATCCCACCTGGAGGCAGAAGTGCATCAGCCCTGCTCTGGCCCCCAAACAGAGCCTTTCTCCTTCCTGAGACTTGCTGAGGTTTTGCACACTGGTTTGGAAAACTGTTGGGTCACGCACCTTGGACCTCGTTCCTAATTAGTTCTGTGTATTTCTTACCGCCCCACCCCACCCACTGGCCTTGTGGCCTGGAAGCTCTAAGGTACATAACGCAAGAGCCACAGACACATAGTAGGCAATGGGGGTGCCCCTGGGGGGTTGGGAGGTGTGGGGCGTGCATCTCTGACTCTGCTCCCCTTCTCTGTACCATGCACAAGGCCTGCCTTGAGAATGTCTAGCCAGGGAAAGAGGGAGACAGGGGTTCATGGTTGGGGGTGGGGGTAGGAGGGTGGGGGAGGCGGAAAGAGGGAAATGAATGAGTCTGTCTCCACCTTGCAGACAGACCCCAAAACCTCGCAGGAAAGCATGTTGGCTTTCTCCCCTACTCCCCTCAGAAGCTGGGCTCTGTACCCCTCGAGGCTGACCATCCTTTCTCTTTGCTGCTCCAGCCGGCTGCACTGAGCCCGGCCCTGGGTGGCTGTGGGCTGCCCGGGGCCTCAGCACTGACCTGGGGGGAAAGTGGGCCTTGAACTTGGTCTGGAACATCCTGGCCAGGATGACGAGCAGCAGCGCCAGCAGCACACTGGTTGCCGTGAACGCCACGATCTTCCACGTGGTCAGGAGGGTCTCGTGGGTGCTGGGCCATGTTTGCTCTGCCGGGAGAGAGAACAAAGCAGCTGTGAGACTGCCAGGCTGGGCTCGGCGCTGGGGTGCCCACATGCCAATGGCTGGATGGGCCCCCTCTCCTGCCCAGGTTCACGTGAGCATTGGTGGGCCTCCACATGTGCTGTGTGAGCGAATGCTTCCCCCATGTGCCACATCCAGGGGGAAGGTGTGCAGCCATCATCCCGGCTTGGGGCAGGGGGCCGTGACTATGCCTGGAAAACACTGGGGTGGGCAGGCAGAACTGGGGCAGGCAGGAGACAGTGGTGCACTGGTGCCCAGGTCTTCACCACGGGGTCCCTACCCTGAGGCTCTGAGGCCAGTGGTGAGGATGGTTTGCTAGCCATTTGTTATCAAGTAGGAAGCACTGAATATTCACTGGAAGGGCTGGTGCTGAAGCTGAAGCTCCAGTATTTTGGTCATCTGATGCAAACAGACAACTCACTGGAAAAGTCCCTGATGCTGGGAAAGATGGAGGGCAGAAGGAGAAGAGGGTGTCCGAGTATAAGATGGCTGGACGGCATCACCGATGCAATGAACATGAACTTGGGCAAACTCCGGGAGATGGTGAGGGACAGAGAGGCCTGGCATGCTGCCAGTCCATGGGGTTGCAAAGAGTCTGACACAACTGGGCAACTGAACAACAACAGGAAGCACTGAAGCTTGCAAAAGGCTTATGTTTTTGGAAGTGAGAGCAGGTCTTGCCCATAATGACATCATCTGGGTTCTGATATGTGTCCTTGAGAAAGGCAGAGTCCTACATTGCTTGGGTCACACCCCGGGCTTGTGTCCTTGTCAGGGGAAGGTGACAAGGCTGGGAGAAAACGGAGTCCACAGTGGCCGGGTCCTTCCATGGGTGCTGGGATCTAGGGACCCCATTCAGAGGGTCCGCATGTTAACCTGGGCATGGGGGGGTGGTGGTGGTCGGGAAGCATCGGCCACATGGAGCCATAAAGATGAACTTCTACATCCTGTTCCTAAAACTGTGTGTGGGCGAGGAGGGCCGGGGACATGCCACCGGCTGCTGCGTGTAGCCTGGACCTGGTCCAGGGACGCTCTCCACGTGCTCACCTGACTTGACGCAGTAGACCTGATAGGATGGAAACCACTCCCCATACTGGCAGGTGATGTACTTGTAGTCACTGGTGAGGCTGTAGCCGGGGTCGCAGTAAAACTCCACCACGGTTCCGTGGTTGTAGCGCTCACAAGGTCGCGGGTGGCAGATGAAATCGCCGTGACTCACCATGGGAGGTAGCGGACAGACTTGGGCAGTTGGGGAGAATAAGAGTTTCAGAACCACATGCTTATCCTGTCCGGACCCTCAAAACAGATATAGCTGGGAGAACACCTCACTCAGAGATGTGCTTATACACGAACCATCACTCCAATGAGGCTGAGCTGTCCCCAAGATCGGCCCGACTCCCGGCCCTTCACGTGAGGTCAGACAGAAGCCTGTGACAAGATTCTGAGCACGTGCGGCTGTCACATGGCATCGTAAGTTACATCGTGAAAGAGATGTTCATCATCCACTGCAAAGAGTATGCCTACCTAATAGATAGCATTAAGCCGCTCTATTAATAACGCATGCTATTATGTGCCAGACAACCTAGTAAATAAAACTAAGATGTTTATGGGCAAAATCATCACCGAGACTGAGCCTGTTTCTGCGGCTACGGGAGTAATCTGGGACCGTCCAAATCCCTGGGTGTCCCTGACCTGATTCTCAAATGTCCTCCTCGAGTTTGGGCACTGACACATAGGCGGCGCTGTGCAGGCGAAGACCACAGCCTCCCCATCACAGACCCCCTGACCAGTGGGCACGAGGCCTGGGACCGGGGCTTGGTTCTGCCACCAACATGCGACGTGACCTCACAAAGGTCACTTAACCCAACGGAAGCCTTGTTTTTCTCCTCTGTAAAATGGAAGCTTCTTCTACCCTTGATAATTTTTTCTGACCCTCATATTCTATGATTTTTAGGGGGGGAAAACAAGTGGCTTTGTTTCCTCTCTTGAACCTGTCAACTACAAATTGGCACTTGCCAAGAGCATTTGCTAGTGACTGAACAACAAGATGGGCATGTGCCATCTGCCTCTGTGGAGGCAGTCGCTGAGCTCCAACGCCCCGAGGGGGTTCAGGGTATGGTGAGGCACTCTGTGCTCCAGGGGATCTGAGGATAGGTCTTTGGACAGTTCGATATTTTCAGGAATTGATTTCCTGATCTCGATTGTTGCATCTCTTCATATCTAGAAAGGGCTTCCCTGGTGGCTCAGGTGGTAAAGAATCTGCCTGCAACGCAGGACACCTGGCTTTGATCCCTGGGTCCGGAAGATCCCTTGGAAAAGAAAATGGCAACCCATCCCAGTATTCTTGTCTGGGAAATTCCATGGACAGAGGAGCCTGGCGGGCTACAGTCCATGGGGTCGCAAAGAGTCATATGTGATTCAGCAACTGACACTACCAGGGACACTCTCATATCTAGAGAAGCTCTAGATTCCTTCATGGTGACATCAGCTCCTTGTGACTAGCAGAAAACCTTTTGTAAAGTAAGTGCTTGACTGCAATGAACTCTTCCCTTCACCAAAATCTTATATATTGACCTTCCCCTACTGCCTCTTTGGAGCAGTCTCTCAGAGCTATTTCCCGGGCTGCAGTCCTCATTTTGCTCCAAATAAAGCTTTTCTTGAAATTCTCACATTGTGTACCTTTTTTAGTTGACAAACCCAAACTCTGGGATGCAAGATAAGAACAGTTCTATCTCTGGATCCAGAAAGATGCTTTCTGTGGAGTTGCTGATTGCTCACCTCTTCCTGCAAAGAGCTCCCTTTCCTCAACAAGAGGAGCTGCCATGGCCCTTAAACACACTCGAGAAACAATCACAGCCCAGACCATCGAGGCCAGCTACAAACCCGCCATGGCCCTTAGACACACCTCGAGAAACAATCACAGCCCAGACCATCGAGGCCAGCTACAAACCCGCCATGGCCCTTAAACACACCTTGAGAAACAATCAGCCCAGACCATCAAGGCCAGCTACAAACCCACCATGGCCCTTAAACACACCTCAAGAAACAGTCACAGCCCAGACCATCGAGGCCAGCTACAAACCCACACCTGTGGAAACCGCTATGAGCTTTTGACCAAAACAAGGGAGAGTTAACTTCTGAGCCTCTTCCCAGGGACACCCAAGCCCCAGCCAGAGGAGATGCACAGGCCAGCCTCTCAGCTCACCCCATGCAGCCACGTCTGCAGGGAGCTGCCCGCCCCACTCAGGCCGCTGGAAGGCATGTCTGGAGCTCTCTTCCAGTAGGAACCCAGGCCCCCTGGAGACGGTCAGCAAGATGGGTCCACCCCATGGGGATGTCCCATGGTTTGGGGCCTGGAGGCTCTTAACAGACACTATCTCTCATTCTGCAAAGGATGCTGCAAGGCAGTTCCTGCTGGCCTTTTTTTCAGAGTTGAGACAGAAACTCAGAGAGGTCAAGTCCTCCAGGAGCAGCTGGAGGAATGGCAGGAGCTTGGGCTGAGTTCTGGCTCAACTCCTCACCAGCCAAGTGACTCCGAAGAAGTCACTTCTTCCCTCCAAGCTTCAGAGGTCTCATCTGTGAAATGGGAGCATCTGAGGGTTGGGAAAGGCTGGCCAGGCCTCCTTTCAGAGCTGAGATGACATAAGTGGGCAGGCAGGGACAACCAGGACCCAGGAATCTACAGAGAAGGGCCATAATGAGGCAACTGCCTCTGTGGGTGATGAGAAAACCGACATGGGCAACGCGGTTCCTGAGATGAGCAGAAGCAGGAATTCACTGCCATCGGTGGGCAGGCGGGATGAGAGTGTCCTAGTGGCTGAGCCCCTGTGGAAGTTAGAGCTGTGACGGTGTATCTGGTGAGACCTGGAGGCTGCGGAAACTCAGACACCGTCTGAGATAACCCACCACACCCTGGGGCAGAGAGGGTCAGTGGGAAATGCCCCAGCTTCTCCCCCTGCCCACACTCCTTTTGGACAAAGCCAGTGGGGAGGCAGCTGACCAGAAGGTGGTAGGGGAAGGTCCAAGATGAGGTTTGAGGCCCACAGGCCAGGGCGTGCTCCATGAATGGTGGCTGGCAGGTGACTACGCCTCAGGTCCCATGGGCAGACCCCGGCAGAGTAGGGACCAGGGCTCTGGCTTTCCAGGGCATTCTCTGGTTTTCCAGGGCGTTCCCATCCTGGCAGATGCACGCCCTCCACAGAGCTTCCCAGGGCCGTGGAGTCCCATCATCTGATGCACTTCCCATTCCACAAGCAAAAGCTTCTGCCAAATCCACTACCTCCAGGGTATTCCACGTGCCTCTCCAGGAGGTGATCAAGGCAGCAGGAGAGGAAAGGGAAGGGAAGGACGAGGACAAGCGAGAGAGAAAGACCAGCATCGTGAGCTGGCCCGGGATGCCAGCTGGGATTCGGAGCAAAGACCTCTCCTGCCACGGTGACTCTTCCATGAGAACACAGAGAAGGGAGAGAGTCCACATGCATCTGGCCCAGGGAGGGGCCGCCAGGCTCTCAGAGCCGCATTCCTGGGCGAGGGGATGCCTTGGCTGCCAGAGTTACGGGGAGGTCTGATGTTCCCTGTGTGGTCAGCCTGACAGAGATGTCTGCTTGACAGAGATGTCTGCCACTTCAGCGGCCTCCAGGGCAGCCAGGTTCCCGTGGCCACCAGGGGTCCCCCTCCTCCGCACCCCCCAGGGGTCCCCCTCCTCCGCACCCCCCACCAGTGCCCTCCAGCGCTGCAGAGGCTCACGAGGAGGCTGGACCTCTGCTGGGAGAGGAGGCCCTTTCCACGGTTAAGGCTTCACAGCGCAGTAGGGCTCTCCTGCTAGGAGCCTTCTGGACAAATCCTCAAGGGTCCCCCCTAGGATGAGAAAATCACCAGAACACTTTCAAGGCCCTGAAAACGACTCTACTACAAAGCCACAGTCATCAAGACAGTATGGTACTGGCACAAAGACAGAAATATAGATCAATGGAACAGAATAGAAAGCCCAGAGATAA